TAAGTACCATGTTTCGTATAATAGTTCTAAATAAAATAATATTCTTCATCAGGAGAGTCAGGAGCAGGGGTTGATGAGAAAAAAACACCCACAAACATTTACAAATACAAACGTTTTGGTTGTGGTTTTGCTTTTGATCCTTGAAAATTAAATAAAAATAATGTCAGAAGGTAAATTATTTTTGTCCTTCTTTCTCCTTTCTGGCCATTTCACAATGGCTCTTGTTCTCTAAAAATAACCTTTTCTCCTTTCCTCTTTCTCCCCTTCCCTTTTTTTCTGTAACCCAACCCTCTCCCTACCCTCTCCACTGTATCTGTTCCAGAATTCTTAGAGCTAAGTAGGCAAGAGTCATCCACATTCCAAGAGGAATGGACACACCTCGGCTTTAGAACAATAGCGATTCAGGACCATGGAGAGCGGCACCCGCGTCGACCTGAGTCTTAACTGCTTTTGGGCTCTTACCACACGCTGTTAATTCAATCTCCTTGCAAAGCACTTTCTTCCCTAGAAAAAAGTACCCCTCGCTCTTTCAGTATCATGAACTTGGACGTCACCTCCTGTTGAAATCCCGGTCACTCCCACCCTCCCCACCACTCTACTGTGTCAGGTGAATACACCCCCCCTTTCCCAGCATGCCCTGAGTTGTTCTTATCCTTCACCCAGTCTACAAATATCTCAGTGTGTACTTTGTACCAGCAACTCATCCAGGCCTGGCAGATATCTGTAGAGTTCCTTGACATTCGGAGATTACATTCCAGTGGAAGGGGAAAGAAACCAAGATGACTGACAACAGCAATAGTACTGAGAAACGATCATCAAACAAGGAATAGGACAGCAGAGGGAGCAAGACACTACATACTGTTGTCAGAAAAATGTAACTCTCAAGAGGGAACATCCCTGCCCTGTGAGAAATGGGGAGAAGAAACTTCTGCGTAGGGAGGCCCAGTGAGTGTAAAAGTCCTCAAGCCGGGCTGAGATTTGCATTTTCGAGGAGTAGCAGGAAGCCAGTGTGTCTGAAGTGATAAGCAAAGGAGAGTGTCAGTGGGTTAGGAAATGAGGTCACAGATCTGAGCAGTCGCCGAACCATGAAGGGCCAGCAGGAGGAGTTTGGATGTACTCTAAGTGCAAGGGGAATTCAGCAAAGCGCTCGAGACTTTAAGTGATGTGCGACATTGAAGCTTGGATGAATGTGCAATTGGGGGCTGTTTTGGGAGGAACTCCATGTGGGCTCTCACTTAGGATTCAGCCGTGCTGTCTCCAGTGCCCAGCACAGGGCCTGGTATGTAGGCTGTCTCTGTAAATGTTTGATGAGTGAATAAACAGGCACATGCATAGAACATGATTTTTGAGGACCAGGGGTTAATATGGGCCATGCCCAGAAAGCATGCCTTTTATGACCTGAAAAAGGAAAATCAATGCCACAGCAGCCTCCTCACCCCTTCTCTTGCCAAACCCGGTCAGCCAACTAATTCTATATTGATTTTTCTGTCAATATTCTTCCCCTTCAAAGTCATGCAGTCTTCTTTATCCTCCTAGCCCTGGGTCAGCCCAAACCTTGTTGCTCAGTCCGCTGCACAAGCCTCCTCCTTGGTTTGCTCATCTTCCTCTAGTCCATCCCCAACACGGTTCCCTGAGGGATATTTAATGCCCACTGTGACCCTATTCCTCTCCTGCCCCAGCGCTTCCACTGCTTTTCCCAGGATTGAACACCAAGTCTCCCACTTTCTAGACCTCAGGCAACTCCTGTCTGTCTGTCTATTTCTCTCCCACTCTGCAGACCTCAGGCAACTTCTCTCTCTCTCTCTCTCTCTCTCTCTCTCTCTCTCTCTCTGTGTGTTCTCATGGGGAACACGAGGTGGTTGGACCAAATCATTTTGCTCCAAGATCTAAGATATTGGTACTATTTCCATCCTTTTCCCCTCCTTTTTAAATCACCTTCATTTTTATGATTGTTATGGGGCAGTAATAGCACCACAGTGAAAAGCCTGGGTTGGAATCCACCTTCCACGATGGAGCAGCTTAACTCTGACTGCTCCTGTTTCCTCAACTGGAAAACGAGAATAGTAACGATGTCTGCCTTGCCAGGTGAAGAAAAAGCACATAGAACTTCTCCCAAACCATGGCACTTGGTAAAGCGTTTATGATTAAGGTGGTGGTTGTTACTACTACTATTCGAGTATCTAAAACCACCATGTGTTGAGCAGTTATTGTTATAGACCAGCCACCGGGTTGGCTCTTCACACTCATGACCTAGACCAGGGGTCAGCTAACTATGCTTTGTCGCACCATGCGGTTTTGTGTGGTTTGTGAGCTAAGTGTGGTGTTTACATTTGTAAATAGTATGGAAAAAGAAGAATAAAAATATATTTTATAACCCGTGAAAATTGCATTGAATTTGCATTTCAGGGTCCATAAATAGTATTTTTGGAACACAGCGGCCATGCCTGCTACTCTACCTCTGGTTGCTTCGGCACTATAACCCGGCAGCTCACAGAACCTGAAATATTTGCTATGTAAAATTTGCTGATCCCTACTAGATATCTGTTTTCTCAGCAACTCATCAAAGGGAAGCTGTAGCACACACAGTAAGTGTTGGGATTTGAACCCCATTCTTTCCAGGTTCCCAACAGCATATGCCTTCAGGCACCATGACCACAATCTTGAAAGTACATGTTGGAGCCCTGACTGGTGTGGCTCAGTGGGTTGGGTATCATCCTGAGAACCAAAAGGTCACCTGTTCAATTCCCAGTCAGGACACATGCCTGGGTTGTAGACCAGGCACCCTGACTGAGGGCATGTGAATATTTCTCTCCCTCTCTTTCTCCCTCCCTTCCACACTCTCTAAAAATAAATAAAATCTTTTTTTAACAAAGTACATGATGGCCCTGGCTGGTGTGGCTCAGTGGCTTGAGCACCAGCCTGCAAACCAAAAGGTTGCCAGTTTAATTCCCAGCCAGGGCACATGCCCAGGTTACAGGCCAAGTCTCCAGCATGGGAAGTACTACAGACAACCACACACTGATGTCTCTCTCCCTCTCATTCTCCCTGCCTTCCCCTCTGTCTAAAAATAAAAATAAATAAAATATTTTTAAACAAATGCATGATGGATACCTTGGGGTGGGTATACAGGTTATAATCTATGACATAAACTTGAGGAAGGGGTTCAGTCCCCTTCAAATTGTTACATCAGAGGCCTGACTTCCAGTCCCAACAACACCGCTGATCCCCCAGGTTCTGGTGCACTGTTACGAGCATGGTTTTTGTGATGAGAAAACCCTCAGTTCTAACCCCAGCCCTGCCATTGACTAGCTAGGTCACCTCTCCTTGTGTCCACTGCTGTGAGCCGCAATCAATGGGATTTTCTTTCAAATGTTTTGGGTGAATTAAATAAAGTCTCCATGCCCTACTTTCTCTCTCTCTAGGCCACTATGTTTTTTTCATCTGGAAAAAAAAAAAAAAAAGGATGAGACCTTTTGCTCTGACACTCCAGGATGGTGCGATCCTACATGTCTTATTTTAGCTCAGTGTCTGGCTGTACACGCCGTGATTCGAGTTCACACAGAGGTTGCACCCTGGTTTCCCTGGATAAAGTCTTGTCAGTTTTGGTTAGAGGCACAAGGGAGGTTTAGCCCAGAGAAAGCTGGGTGAGGAGCAGGAAAGGGGCTGTGGAAAGGGATATTCAAAAATTCTCCTTTAATTATTTGCAGAGTCATCTCTAAAGGGGGAGCTCAGTGGAGGTCCCAGGGGACAGAATATTAAACTGGTAAAAACAGACCTCTATCCTTGATCTTAGCCAAAAGGCCGAGAAGCGATACTCAGGGGACAGAATGGAAATGAGATGTACAACAGGGGTTGTTCATAAAATATCAACCAGAGTAGAAGGACCCGAATGGAGTTAAATTAAGTTGTGTTGAATTCATCTGAATTGAACTGAAGAACTGAGTCAGAATAGATTGGGGTCAGTTGGAGCAGATGGACGGAGTTAAACGTGTCAGAGCTGAGTCGATCTGGGCTGACCTTACCTGAGTGGGACTGAAGTAGAACAAACCGAGCTGTAGTTTGGATGAGGGGAACACTGAAAATTATTCTGTTCTAGAACTCAGGACACTGGAGTCCGGGTACCAGCTTATGCTGGTATCTTAGGCAAATCTCTGCACAAGTCTGGTCTTCAGTATCCCCATTTTATTAAGCGAGTGCTAATAATAACCCCCAAGCAGAGATGTTATGAGAAGGATTTGAGATCACTCATAGCTCAAAAAAATAAAATGGCCCAGGCTGGGTGGCTCAATGGGGGGGGGGGAGTTGGAGTGTTGTCCCAATATGTCCAGGCTGTAGGTTTGATCCCCAGTCAGGGCACATTCGAGAATTAACTAATGAGCTTATAAATAAATGGAATAACAAGTCAATGTTTCCCTCTCTCTCCAATCAATAAATAAAATTTTTAAAAAAGAACTATAAACACATAGTAAACTCTGGCTAATGGCATGCATAGTGAAGTATTTAAGGTAAAGTGTAATGATGCCTCAACTCACTTTGAAACGCATAAAAAGTAGTGAGATAAATAACAATAAGATAGGTAGAAAGATAGCTACATGAACAGATACAGGACAAAGCAAGTCTAGTTATATGGAAATGGTTGCTCTAAGTGGTAGCTCCATGGGCGTTCACTCCAAAATCTTTCACCTTTTCTCTTTGAAAAATTTTCAGACACAATGCTGCACAGGAAGCAAGGAGCCTTGTAACCGGCTATCACCTCACGGGGTTGTGAGGATCAGCACAGAAGCCTGGCACCTAACTAGCACCCAATGAGCAATTCACCATGATTCGGTCCCATGCGCAAGGGGCGCTGCCATCTCCCTCTCGCACAGCAGAAAAGTGGGGCTCAGAGAGGTTCTGCAACCCCTTCAGGATTACACAGCAAGGAAGAGGGACCTCAGGCTTCTGTTATCTAAAAGACCCCCCCCCCCCCCCCAGCCCGTAAGTTCTTTCCTTGGGCTCACCCGATAGGATGAAGAAGATGCCAGAAACAAAAGCCAGAATGGTCCTCTGTGGGCGGATGTGGCCGATGTTGCTGATGACGAAGGCGGTGAACACGAGGAAGAGACTGACCATGGGGAAGGGGGTGGCTGTGCGCACTGTCTCTGGGGGAGCGGTAAGGGGAGAGAAGGGGTGAGGGGGACAATCTGCAGGGACACCTCCCCATTCCCCTGACCTCTCCATGTCCACCATCTCCCTGACCCTTGACTTTTTGGGTAGTTTCTCCCTTCTGCAGACTCTTCTCCTGTCTGGTGATTCCACTGAGGACGCCATCCCTTTACTCAGACCACACCTCCTTTGGCCTGACCCCACCCCTTTCCTGTTGGCTCCACCCACTGACTAGGCCCCGCCCCCTTCGACCTACCTCCTCTCCCTTACCCAACCACTCTGCCTTCTTTCTAGTCTCCACTCCTTCCATTCCACCCTACCCCTTTCCTGGTCCTGCCCTTTCTCCCAGGACCTGCCCTGTGATCCTGCCGCCTTGTTGCCTAGGCCCCCTGCTTCCCCTCACTCAGAATATTCTCCGTGTTCTCCGTCACCAAGTTGATCTCCGGTTCAAGAAAGTATTCCGAGGCCACGCAGCGACCCTTCTCCCGACCTGGGGGCGGATAGTAAGAAAGCAGCGCTGCATGAGATGATCCTAAGCTCTGGAGAGGCAGTCAGGAGCACGGGGCACAGTGGGGAGACCCCAGGATGGTGATGGCTTAGTCCAAGGGTTGCAGAAGCGGGTGGGCAGGAGCTCTGGGAGTTGCTGTTGCCAGCTTCCCTAGAGACCAGACCCATAGGTGGAGGGCAGGGCTGGAACCCTTGGTCCCAAGTGAGGAGGGGCTGTGAGCCAGGACTTCTGGGTCCCTAAAGAGAATAAGGTGGTGGGTGGCAGGGTCCTTGAAGGAGGGGGAGGTCTCTGTGATCACTGGGAAACATGGATTTCTCTACCCCGTCCATTCGGCAATGAAGCTGTCCATTCAGCAGTGAAGCTGTCCAGGGGACACGTTATGAACTTAGATTGCCACTGCTGAGGGGGAGGGGGACTCTGCGGTTCCCGGGAGACCGTATGAGCACTGGGACTCCTAGATCCAGGGAACAGAGGGTTAGAAATTGGGTCTCCGTGTAGGAACTCGACTCTCCAGGACAGAAAGAGGATCAGTCTCTGCACTTCTGGAGCCCGAGAGGTGGAACGAAGGATCAGGACTCTCGGATCCCACCCAGGCAAGGCAGGGACAGTTGAGTGGAGGGCGGCTGGGGTCTGTACCTGCGAAGAAACACACGCGCCAGAGGCCGGCGTGCAGCGCCATCTTGACCTCCGTGGTCTGGTTCTGCGGCAGCACCGTGCCCTCCTCCATGTACAGCCAGTAGTCAGTGCTGACCGCGATGCCCACGAGCAGGAGGCCACACGCACCAAACACGCTGCTCAGCAGGGTCAGGGCGCGGCTGCTGCAGTGACTCATCCTCAGCGGCGGGGGGCGCCCTGCGGGGCCTGAGGGGACCCGGAACTGCCTTGGGGAGGCCTGATAGGACCAACTTGAGTCCTCACCCCCATGCAGCCACCCGAGGCCCTGGACTGGGACTAAGACGCCAATCCCCAGACCTCTCAAATCTGGCGTCTGTGTCCTGACCCACGATTCCCTCCCTGGATTTGAACCAGTGACACCAATTGTTGACCTTCAACCCTAGAACTGGCCTTCCCAGACCTGACACTTGTGCTCTGGCTCTGGATCCTAATCAGAGACCCCCACACCCGACACCCCCGCCACACCCCAGGATAAGATTTCCAGCTGTAATCTTCAGCCCACATCCAGGGACTGAACCTTAGCTCCACCCATGTGTCTGGACCTGGGTGCCCAATGTCACGACTTCAACTAGAAATTCAGTTTCTAGAGTCTCGACCCCAGAACCAAGCCCTCCAGCCTGAACCGCATGCCCTGACTGACCCCGAGACCTTGACCACAGGCACTAGAGACCACCAGAATCCCTAACCATGAGCCTGGGCCGGTGACTCAGAAGCTATTATGGTGATCAGGCACTCCAAAGCCAGGACCAGGCACATAGCCCCAACCTTGACCCTGTGCCTTGAGGCAAGCCACGAACTTTGAATACGAGACTCCAGCAAGGACCTGTGACCTCAACTCTCAGCCATGACCTAGGTCTCTAGACCCTGAGGGTTAAAACTTTAACACTGGATGCTGAGCAATGTAACCTGTGTAAAAGCCCTAACCCTGGCCACCTAATCCTGACTCTATCTATTGATCCCTTCTCTTTGGACTCTGTCCCTGAATAGAAACCAGAAGTCCCCCAAGTGAGTCACCAACGAAGGACCCTAACTCCATACCCTAGCCTCGGTCCCTTGACCTCAGGCTTACCTCAGACCTTGAGCAGAGGTCCTCACTCAAGTTTAATCTCTTAAACTCTTATCCTTAACACCCAATTCTAACACCGAGAACTGGACCCATGACCTTCTGACTCTGATCCTAGGTCTTGACTTCAATTTGGTACCCTAATCTGAGATTCCAGAACCTCAATTCCCCCCAACACCAAGCCCAGGTGGGTCCCTGAACCCTGGGTGCTGGAACTCCATCCCAGGCTGCTGGGTCCCCCAAACACTGGGCCCAGACACCTGGAGCCAGGATTTGGAATGAAGACTTTCAAATATCAAACCAGTGATCTGGGAACCCGCACCCCACCCCCAGCTCGGCACTCTAGCCAGAGTGCTCCAGTCAAACAAGTGACCCTCCTTCGCACTAGGGACCAGTCCTCTGAACTCTAAAACCCCAACCAGGACCCCGTCTCCCCAGTCTTCCATCTCATGACCCGGAAATTCCCTATCAGAGGTCCTGCACCCCCACTTCCCACGTTAGGACTCTGATCCCCAGAACTCTGGATGCTTAAACAAGAGATCTCCTCTTCCCAGCTGCCCCCTCCCACCTCCACTCAGGAACCTGGAGACTCCAACTGGAGATGCTCCTCATCCCTTATCCAGCACCCTCACCCCCTACCATGAGCTTTTCCCTAAACTAAGCAATCCCGTGAATTGGGGGACTCCATACGGGATCCCGGACCCATCCCAACCAGAGGCCTTTACGCCTCTGAGTACCAGAGTCCCCATCATCTTTTTAACTAGGATAGTTAAGATCCCTAAACCCTGCCCAACAAATGCAGCCGAGATTTGAGACACCACTTTAAAAAACAAAAAGCCAATGCTGGTAGCCTTGAAACTCTGCCCCCACCCCAGTAAGGAGTCAGAGACGACTTTGGCCACTACCCTCCCTTCCGCACCCAGTGCCCTTCCTCCCCACCCGCTGCCTCCTGGAGGGCTCGGGGATCCGAGCGAGGCAGAGCGCCGACCAGCTTTTCCTCCCATCCCCCGTCCCGTGGCTCCCGGGCTCGACCGCCAGCTGCCTGCTCCTGTTCTAACCCGCTCCGCTCAGAAACAAGCCGCGGGAACCCAGTTACCCTGATTGCCTTCGCCCAGGTAGCTGACCTCAGCTCCCGCCCTTGGCGCCTCCGACTCCAGCGGGGACCCCGCTCTCGGTCACCCACCGGCTCGCTTTCTCCTTGGAGATTGGAGACCCCCCCCTCCTGCGTGGCTACCATTCCTCCTCACTCTCCATAGCCCGCCCAGCCCCTCCACAGTCCCCCCCAGCTTCCAGCCTCTCCCCTTTGGGACCTTCTCCCCAGGCCTGAAGCCTCCTTCTCATCCTCCACCCCACCCCCCTCAGAGTTTCCTGGATTAGAGCATTCGGGTCCCCGGGGTCCCCCTTCTGCAAACCCAGGTCCAAACTCCGTCGCCCTTCGCCCTCACGGGGGACAGACCCCCCGCTTCCCCGGCGCCCCTTCTCAGACTCACATCCTGCTCTGAGCCCGCGAGGTGCTCCCCCTGCGCCGGGACCGCCTCCCTCGAGGACCTGGTCTGCACCCTCCCCAGGGCGCCAGGTCTCCGCGGCGCGGACACGGCGAGTGTAGTAGTTGCCCCGCTCCGGACCCTCGGACCCCGTCGTCCCTAGGCCCGAATGTCCCTCCATGCCCCATAGCCTCCCGAAGTGGGGCGTCCTGGCCGCTGGAATTGCCACCGCCCCCCCCCCGAGCCACACAGGCTCCTTTCAGCCCCAGCCCCTGTCCCCCCGCCGCCTCACGGGGAACCCCCGCCCCCCACCCCTCCTCCCAGGACCCTCCCCTCCCGCTCACCTCGCTCAGGGCTGGGCGCACGCTCCGGGCCGCGGGCCCCGCAGCCGCATGACCGGCCCCGCGGCTTCCCCCGGCCGCCGCCGCCTCCGCCGCCACCGGGGTCGCCGATGCCCGCGCCCCCCGCCCCCGCCCCGGAGCCCGGCGTCCCGGCCCCCTCCCGGTCTCCCACCCCCCACCCCCCGCGCCCGCGGCCTCACTCGGCGGACAACGCCGGGAGCTGGGACCGGCGGCCGCTCATTGGCTGCCGCGGAGGAGGGGAGGGGCGCGGAGGGGGGAGCGGGGATGCGGGAGGGAGGGCGGCGGGCCTGGGGAGTGGGGGGTGGCAGGGAGGAGAGGGTAGGAGCGGAGCGGAGCGCGGACGGGAGCAGGGGCGCCTGGGGGGCGGGGGGCTGGGAGACAGCAGCGGGCCGGGCGCGCCCAGACCTCGAGGCTGAGCAATCCTGAGACTCGCAGGTCTGGAGACGAGCAAACACAGAGGTGGCCTAAAAGAGACTGGGAGAGAGAGAGAGAGAGAAGGTGGGGCAGAGAGTGGGTCCCAGACCCCGGCTCCCCAGGCTCGGAGAGTCTCGGGCGCTGGAAGTGGAGAGGTCAGGCAGCAGGGACAGAAAAAGGCACGGGGCGCTCGGGGCGCTCAGAGGCCTCGGGCTGAGGGATGCTGAGACCCAGGCGCCTTGCGCCAGGCAGAGAGGCAGAAAGACAGAGGAGAGACAGAAAGACAGAGACCCTGGGCGGAGAGAGATAGCAGGGGCAATCCTTGGGGTCCCCTGCTGAGGGCTGGGGCTCTGGCCGGGCTTGGGGCGGAGCGTGGGGCCTGGACGGCTGGAGGAAGCGAAAGGGGGCGTCCCAGGCCGGGGTCCCCCGAGCAGCAGGCGGGCGCAGAGCGAAGCCGGGTCCTGCAGCCGCCGCGGAGCCGGGAGCCGGGCCAGCACCCCCCCCCCCCCCCCGCCGTGATGTCAGCGGGGCCACTCTTAAAGGGGCCGGCCGCCCGCCGAGGGTCGGAGTGGGGCTGGGAGGGGCGCTGGGAGCAGCGGGCTCGGGGTGGGGGGGTACACAGTGGTGCCAGGGGACACAGAGGAAGCCCCCAGCCTCCATTCCGGAGACAGGACCCCAGAATCTCAAGAGGAACGAAGAGACGCTGGAGCTCCCCGAGGGAGCCTGCGAAGCTTTGGGGCTCAGTCCTTCCAAACACACAGACACAGAGGCACACCATTCGACCGGCCTGCCCCGTCCAGGGACTACATTTCCCATCAGTCCTAGCGGCGAGGGGCAGCACTTGGGGGAAGGGTCCGCCGCCGCGATGTCTGCTGGGATGTGTAGTCCATCTGCACTACCCTCTCCACTCCCCCCACTCGCAATTGGGTCAGGGGATGGAGGCCCGGAGGGCGCGTCTGTCTGCCTGCTACCTCAGTCGCTGGTCCCTAAGCTCGCAAGTTCTGCTCGTTTAGGTGTCTGGGTCGTGGGGTCAGGCCCTCCTCCGATCGAATCCGCAGACGTCTCAGTGGGAGGCTTGCCTTTCATCTCCCCGCCCGGGACTTCCCAGTGTCTGGGTGTAGTGTGTGTCTGTGAGCTTGTGTGAGTCTCCTGGTGAGTATGTGCTCGCTTGTGTCTCTGTGCCCAGGGTCTGTCCCTGATGATGCTTTCAATGGATTTCCACCTCCTTGGGCACGTGGGCCCTTTGGTCCTCTCCGGGGGTCTGTCTCTGAGCCTGTTTTTTGCTCTCATCCTGTGGGCATCTTCTGTCCCTTCGTGACTCTCAGCACTTTCTCTCTCTCTCTCTCTCTCTCTCTCTCTCTCTCTCTGTTTGTTTCTGTGTGCAGTCCTCGTCCCACCTCCGCACACCCTTCATTCTCCAAGCTTAGAAGAAAACATCCAAACACCTCAGCGTCAGCAGACCAAATTTATTCTCCAGCAGCTGTGGCTGGATGGGAGAGGCAGAGAGAAGAGGAGCTGGGGGCGGGGAGGCCCCGGGAGTGGAGAGTGGCAGGCACGGGGTGGAGGCGGGGTTCCGAGCAGAAATGGAGCCATGCACCTGGCAGGCGGCTGGGTTGGGTGTAGGATGGGGGAGTCTAGAAGGAAAGCCGGTTGAGAACAGTCGGGGAAGGGATCCTCCGCACACCCCAGGCATTCCCGGGGTGTGGAAGAGGGCACTGGAGCATCGGGGCACAGCCTCCCACTTACTCCAGCATTGGGGCACAGCCCCCCACTTACTCCAGAACGAAGTGGGGGTGGGCAGGGCCTTGGAGGTAGGGGTTCGTCTGGGAACCCAAGTCCGAAACAGCCCACCCCATGAGACTGTTTCCCAGAATGGAAGAAAAGAAGAACGAGAAGGAGGGAAAGGGGGTGGGGAAGGGGATAGAGGAGGAGAGGGAGGAGAAGAAGGGGGGAGGGCAGGAAGAAGGAGGAGGAGGAGGAGGAGGAGGGAAGGAGTTGGAGGGGAGGGGAGAGGACGGGGGTGGGGAGGAGAGGAGAAGGAAGAGTAAGGGAGGGAAGAAGGAGGAGGAGGAAACTACCAAGATGGAGTGTACAACCCCATGGAGTAGGGATGGTCGTGGTGGTTCTGGAACCTGGTGAAACAGAATCCAGAATACCGAGGTGGGTGAGAAACTAGGGCTCAGCGCGGCAGAATCTAGAGCACAGGGATGCTCTAGAAACCGTGTGGAGTTGAGAATGCCAGGAACGCTTGAAAAGGGCACCTAGCACCCAGGGGGCAGAGGCCAGAATGCTGGGGAGCAGGGTCTAGAAGTCGAAAGGAGATGGTGAAGTACAGCCCAGGCTGGCGCGGTGGAGGGAGCCGTGGGGACATCTAGTGGTGGCAGATGGGATTACATGACTGGCACAGGCGCCGGGCTGATGGGGCTGCGAGCATCCGGGTGCACGAAATCCGGGTTCACGTAGGTGAAGCCTTGGAAATCCGCCTGGTCAATGCTGGCCAGAACTAGGCGGTCTGGGGGGGTCAGCGCGGGCGCCGCCCTCGTGAAGAACTTGTCGAAGTTCTCACCGCTGCGGCCACACTGGAAAATACCGAGAGGAAAACGTGTTCTACTCGCTCCTTGGGTACCTGTCTCTGTCCCCCAAATCCATCTCCAGTCTCCTCTGGAATCTTTGCACATCCTCACGTGCACCACCCCCCCTTCAGTGGTCTCCTCTAGGGAAACCCTGCCCCGCCTCCTCATTTGGGTATTGGAGCTCCTGAGTGCCAGGGAACAAGGTTTTGGTGACCTACCGGGCGAGGCCTGAACGGAGGTGGGATCTCCAACCGCTCCAGCCGCTCCCAGTCGATCCAGCGGAAAAAGCCATGAGCGCGGATGGTGGGTTCCCCATCAGGCCCTGAACCCAGGCGCTTAGCGGGGTGCTTGGTTAGGAACTGTGGGGAACACAGACAGACAGACAAGTCCCAGACAGGAAAGCCCAGAGAACGAGAAAGAGAGAAAGGAAGACAAGAACGGAGGAACACAGAGAAACGAGCATACAAATCCAGGGACAGAAGAGTAGCCAGACGGGACAGGAAGGGTGGGGAGAGAGAAAGGGGAAGAAAGAGAAGGAATGAGAATGGGGTAGATGAAATCCAAGCCCACAGACCCAGGGCAAGACCAGGGCGTGAAGGCCAGAGAAACCCAGAAAGAGAAAAAGGAGCCGGAAAAAGAATCAGGGAAAGGGATGGGTGGAGCAGAAGGAAAAAGGGAGAGAAGTGGGAGACCCAGAGAAAGGGGGATGGGGACCCAGGAGACCAGATATGAAGGCAGAGACTCAGAGAAAGAAGGAGACAGACCCAGAAAGAGAAGAGGACAAGGGAAAAATCTCAGAGTGGAGGAGTGAGAAGAGAGAGGGACAGCATGGGGGGACAAGAAGAGAGATTGAAGACACCCCCCAAAAAAAAAGGGAAATAAGAGATTTGGAGAGAAAAGAGCCAGAAGTGGGGGTAGGGACCCAGAGAACATATAGAATGAAGGCAACAGAACAGAGGACAGAGAGACGCAGGAGACAGACCCTCAGAGAGAGGGAGGTCAGAAACATTGGAGGAAAGAAATCCAGACAATGAAAGAGAACCAGTGTGTGTGTGTGCACATATGAGTCAGGGGAAGAAGGCAACAGAGATGCAAGAGGTAGACAGATTCCAAAGGACCCAGAAAAGGGAGAGACACAGAAAGCCCCATCCCAGGTAGACACGGGCACAGGGGTGAGACAGAAACCCAGAGAGAGACAGTCAGAGAGGCAGGAAGAGAGGAGCCAGGGGCAGAAGTGTGCTCACACCTGGGGCTATAGGCTATGCTCTTCCTCCTGCATTGACTCTGTAACCCCGGAAGAGGAAACCAAGGCTGCCAGAGTTCCACTGACTTGCCCAAGAGCCCACAGGAGGACCCGTGGTGGAGAGAGAGAGGTGCATCTGACCCACCTGGTTCTGGAGAGGCAGGCCCTGGCTTCCAGCCCTCCCTGTACTGAGCTGGGGAGTGGGGGCAGCAGAAAGAGGATAAGACAGAGGCCATTCTTGAACTGGAGGTGGCAGTGGGCAGTACAGTGTCATTCTAACAAAATTGCTGTGACATGAACTTGTCCAGCAGATGGGTGTCAAGTGACTTGAGCAGCGGGAGTCACTTTCTAATATGCACAGAGACACTGTGTGGGAAGCCCTGGATGGCAGTAGTGGGACCCATGGATGGTGAGTCCCGACAATCTGGGAGTCCTGGTTCTCACCCCCTTGCAGATGGCCACGGCTTCCCGGGAGAGCGACTTAGGGTAAGTGACCGTTTGTTCCATGATGGCCTGAAACAGCTCCTCCTCATCTTCTCCATCAAAGGGGGGCTAAGGAAATAAAGGGGTCACAAAGTCCAAGGCTTGGGGGACTGCTTCTCCCCACCTTCCACACCTTCATCTCCCATCACAAACACAAGACCCCCCCTACATACTTCCTAGAAAAAAATGTGAGCTAACCACCAAAGCTTTATCTTTCCCCACCTCATCCCACAACCAGATGCTTTGATTTCCTGTCTCAGAGGCATCAGCTCTCAGCACCTCTTTGCTGCTCTGTCTCTCTCTATCTGTTATGTAAATCAGCAGGGCGTTAATTAGGCAATATGTCACTTAACTAGAAGACAGAGAAAACGGCAGGAAAAGCTACACAAGCATTCTGGTTAGATGAGAGGTCTCCACTTTTCTGGGGTGAGGAAGGGCAACATCTAGGCATGGATTCTTAATGTGGGGTCGAGAGGGTGTTTAAACAATTGAAGGTTCCCATGAACTTGGGCAGAGAAAGTGCATCTTTTTTAATGTCTAGCTGGAATTTAGCATTCCCTTCAATTATGAATGTAGGCAACAAACCATAACAGCAATACTGGTGGCTTTATCATGATCATAAATCACACACACATATATAATATATATGTATAATATATATTATATATATAAAATCTCATTAGACTTGCAGATATCTCAAAATATCAGTTATCTCTACTTCAAGATCACTGGTATATCTTCCTATTTACTTCCTATCCCAGGAAGGCATTACTATGTAGTTTATTAGTAGAACATCACATATATGTCCACCCCCCAATCTTTAATATTTAGGTAACTATATACATTGACATTAAACTTATTTAGTTGGTTAGATTAAACGTTTTAAAGTATTGGTGCTATATTTTAATATGGTTGGTTTCTTTTGTAACCCTATTTTTACTTTGTGCGTTTGATTGGGTTTGGAGGCCGGCCCTCAATTCACTGAGCCACTCCAGCCAGGGCTACTATGGGCCTTTGAAACCATTGTTCTGCGAAGCGGTGCAAAGCACAGTGGGAAGCGGACGCTTCAGAACCACGGACAGCGCTCACTGGCTTCATCTTCCCCAGCCTCTAAGCACTTCCTTAGACTATTACAGAACTTCCTTCCCAGGTTTTTCCCGACCATGTAACAGGTGGTGCCCCACTCCGTGTTACCTTTAGCCAGGTCGGCCTCTCCCCAGCTTCCCTTACCTGACCCGCCAACATCTCATACAGCAGAACCCCAAAGGACCACCAGTCGACAGATTTCCCATAGGGCTGGTAGGCAATGATCTATTGAGGGGAGGGAGGAGGGAGAATGGGAGGCAAGAATTCGTGCTTTGTGCTTTAAGATGCATAGGACCCTTCTGGCTTCAACCCGTGGGCACCCTACCCACTTTAAGAGTATTCGGCACAAACTCTCCCCACTGAGAATTTTGTGGCCAGAGCTCTGTTCTTTGGGAGATCTGGGGAACAAACTTTACCTACTTAGGCTATTCCTCTGGTCCCAAATAAAAGGGCAACAACCTAAGGGCCAAGTCACAAGTCCCACCCATCTAGAATATTTAGGTAACTGGACCCTCTTCTTACAAGAAGTACTGGGTGCACAGGGCTGAATTTCAAAAACCAGAGATTCTTAAATCTGGATGCATTTCAGATTCATCTAGAGGGCTGTTTAAAAATAGATGTTTCCAGCCCTGAAGAATCCCAGCCTCAATAGGCCAGAGTCAGAGGCAGGAACAGGTGTGTGTGTGTGTTGCAAAACCTCCCCAGGTGACTGATTACCAGCAAGGTTTTGAAACCACTGACCTTGGTCACTCGGGCACTAGTATTGAATCACCTGGAAAGATCATGAATGGCAACCACCAACAGCACTTCCTCCTCCAACACTATAGGTGCAGACAGATCTTTAGCCCCACCCCTTTACAAAGCCCGGGCATACTCTGCCCACTGGAAATATTCAGAAGACACGGGCTTGGTGTTCTGGGGGGCTGGGCCCCACCCACTCGGACTAACTGGTGTTCTCAGAGTAGTCCAGTCACAGACCCTATTCTCTTGGAATTCCTACGAGCTGGTCTCACTCTTCTGGGAGGTTCACCCACAGGTCCCGCCCACTTTGCCTATTTAAAGACCCAGCTCCACCCACTTCAAATGCTCAGCGCACAGACCTCTCTGCACCGCTCTCCATTAGAACGCTCCACCCCCCCACTCGTGGAAACACCCCAGGGTCAGGTCCCCCGCATTATGAACACTAGACAACCAGCCACACCCACTCAGCACACTTGGAGTGCAAGCGCCCAGGGCAGCAGAGTTGGGGTTACCTCTGGGGCAATGTAGTCTGGGGTCCCACAGAAGGTGCGAGTGGTGGTCCCAGGGAAGATGTTCTCCTTACACATGCCGAAGTCGGTGATTTTGATGTGTCCTTCCGCGTCCAGCATCACATTGTCCAGTTTCAGGTCCCTAGTGGTTTGGGGCGGGTCAAGTAGAAATATATAGAGAGAGTTCCGTAAGGTCAAACCCCTTCCCCTCTAGGGGCCTGATCCCCTCCATGGAAGGGCATGGGACTGCTCACCTGTAGATGATACCCTGATTGTGCAGGAAGAAGAGGCCGATGGCAATTTCCGCTGCGTAGAACCTAGAGGAGGAGGTGGAGAGACAGAGGTCAGTGGCTGGATCCCACCCCCTTCCAGCTTTCCTCCACCTTCACCTTGGCCCAGACTTACGCTGCATGGGGCTCCTTAAACTTGCCCAACTGCTGAATGTGGTACATCAAGTCGCCCCCGGTGACATACTCCATCACAAAATACAGACGATCCTGGACGGGGGAGTGGGAGGGGCTTAGAGCGAGGGCACGCCCATCAGGCGTTCTTGTCAGCCTATGCGCGCGGCACTTAAGTAAGGGACAAGTCCTACTTGTTGGAGACAAACGTGAAAGGCTGGGGTCCACCCAATCAAAAACCCAGAGCAACTGGCCACGCCCACTGGGAGGGCCCGAAAATCTAACAAGGCAATCTCAGAATCTCCACATGCCCCATCCCTTGTTACTCTGAACTATAACTGTTCTGGTCCCTCCTCTCAAAATTGAAGCTTGAAGTCCACCATCCGCTGGAAATCCCTGGGATCCGAAACCTCTTTTACACCCACTCACACCCATATGCAGTTCTGGCCACCTGTTAGGAACCGAAGTTGTTCAGGCCTCACCTACTACTGATGATGATAGTAATCATTTAAAACTCAGGAAGCCAGGCGCACCCATTCAGAGTTCTTGGAAGTAGAGTCACACCCTCTCAAACCCCTGATGGTTCAAACTCCTTGTCCCATTCCACATCTTGAGAAAAGCTTCTTTCCGATGAGTCCTTCCCTCAGCATCCAAGAGTGACAACCTTGTCACACGGAGCCCAATTCTGGGCACACCCACTCAGAAAACATTCTCCTCCACGCATTCCTTTACTCAACAATCCTTTACTCAAAAACACCCACTCAACACTCAAGACCAAGCTGGCTGGGTCTTAAACACAGGAACCATCTGCCTGGCCACGCCCACTCAGGACCCCATCCATCTGGCCAAGCCTCCGATTGCTCGCAGTTGGTGAAAGCTCTTTGGTCTGCTGCCATAGCTCAGAATCCTGGAGCAATCGCCTGCTCCATCTAGGTGGGGATGAGACAGGCCTCTAGAGCCAGCCTCCACCCCCTCCGTCCTTACCGGGGTCTGGAAGGTGGAGTGCAGCTGGGTGAGGAAGTGGGGCCGGCCTCCTGGGCCTCGGCCCCCCAGAGCCAGCACGCGTTTCTCCACCAGGGTGCAGTCCACATCGTCGTCCTGGACGATCACGTCTTTCTTCAGGATCTTGATGGCGTAGAGTTCGTCGGAGCCCCGGCGCTCAGCCAGCATCACCTGGGCACAGACGCGCAAAAAGCTCAGTCTGTCTTGGAAACCCCAGGGGGTGCAGGCCCCTGCCCCTGCCTTTCAGGGACACGGAGAAACAAAATCTCAGGGCCTTCCTCTCCCTCGAAAGGGATCTCATGCTCTGACTTTGCCGACCACCCCCTCGGGGAAGGCAATCCACCTGTTTATGTCCCTCCTCTCCAGGGATCCCAGAGGCCCCATCCAACCCTCTTTGGGGACTCAGTAGCTGAGTGTCCCTCCCCTCCTATTCCTCTCTAAGGACCAGAAATGTGACCGTCCCCCACACATCCTCCCCTTCCCCCAGAGCCCCAGGAATCCGACCTTCCCAAAACTGCCTTTTCCTAGAACCATTAGGAAGCTGAAGTCCGAGATGTGCAGACGTCCAGGACTTGCCCCGAAGAAACAGCGCTTGGGGTCGGTGGGACTAGGGGATGGGGAGGGGATGGGGGAGGAAGAAGGACCCATCCGCACCCTCTGTGAGAAAGGGGAGAGACCCAGAGGTAGTCAGAGCCCTGACTGGGTTAAGCAGGGGGGTGCCCCTAAGAGAGACAGCATCCAAGAATGAAAAGGGCAGGGAGAGATGGAGAGAAAATAAAAGTTGTTTCCTTGACCCAAGAGCTTTCTATAACTTTCCAGAGCCAGAGCGTTTATTTATTGTTTAACTAACCCTTAGAGAACTTATTAGATGGCATTAATCCTCTGGTAAACCCTGTTATCGCCCCACTCCACCCCCATTTTCAAGAAAAGGAGACCTGCAGAGAGATGTTAAGTAACTTGCTCCAGGCCACACAGAGGATAAGAGGCAAAGCCAGAAATCAAAAATCCATTAAAGCCAGACTGTATGCCCCTGCTTTTTGTTTCTGCACCATCACCCAGCTCGTGGCTTGGAACACAGGAGGCCTGAGCAACAGGGTGTTGAATGGATGACCATCTCCGGAGACCAGTGCTGAACGCAACATGTATCTCTCAACCTTCAGACCAGACCCAGAATCTGAGCATCCCTTCCACGGCTGCGCCCTGGGCCAGCTGCTCCCACCTGCGTGGTCACAGCACCCAGCCTTCTCCCTCCTCCCACCTTTGCCTTCCACCGTCTGACCTCTACACGGAGGCAGTCATCGCCTTCAAATCAAAATCAACTCCGGCCACGTCTGATGCCCTCACTAGGTTTAAAAGCCAAAATTCTCCCAAGGAGTCACAAGGTGCCCCCACCCCCAACTTTCCCTCTCGGACTTCCTCTTCTCCTGCACCCCACCCCCACCCAGCCTGTCCTCCTTGCTGTAAAGTAGACACCACTGGCTTGCCCCCACCTCAGGGCCTTTGTACGTGCTGTTCCTGCTGCCTGGAAGTCTCTTCTCCAATCTCCACATGGCACTTTCTCTGTCTTTCTCTCTTACCTCCCATACATCTTTGCCACATGGTACTTTCTCAGTGAACCCTTCTTGGCTTACTGCAGTTAAAATCATAAAAACGTCTCCAAGGGCACTCCCTACCCTCTTCCATGTCTGGTTTTCTCCACATTACTCATTGCTTTCTAACATATTATCATTTACTTTATTTTGTTTAATGTCTTTCTCAGTGTTAAGCTTCATGGGGGCAGGAACTTTTTTTCCTCTCCTGTCTATGGCTCTCTCCCCAGTGACCTGGGCCATGCCTTAGCACAAAGGAGAGCAACAAAATGTTTTATGGAAGAATACACGAGGGAGAAAGTTTGCCTTTCTTTGGCTTGGTTATCTGGTGCCTCTCTTCTTTGTCTGGGGAATCCCGCACGTCCTCCAGGACTCAGGCCCCTGGGAAGCCTTCTCTGATTGATTCTCCCAGGCAGTGCCAGGGACTTCCAGGACCTCCCTGGAGCCTCAGGCTCTCCATATCAACCATATTTCTCCTGGTGATCAATTTCTCTACTGGTGACTTTCTTTCACACTGAAAGAAGAGATCCCAGGCAATTGGCTTGATTGTACTCTTGGCTTATGTTACACCTTCGGAAACAGGTGTTTAGTGAACGAGTAAATGAATGGAGGAGAAAGAGGCTACAGTGATGAATATAAAGAAAAACTGAAGGATTGATGCCAGTGACACCTCCTCCAGGAAGTCCTCCCTGACCACCTTCCCCCTAGACTGGATTAGTGCCTCCTCTTACTTCTTTAGTGTCTTGGGCTCTGGTTTAGTACAGCATCCTGGGGTTTAACTATCATATCTGTGATGGTGTCCCTACAGGAGGAAGTTGCCTGAAGAGTCAGATTCACCTAGAATCACTCAGCAAGCATAACCCTTGCCACCAAGTATATACTCAGTGCATGTGTGTGGACACAAAGGTAGGTATTAGGGGAGAGAGATACAGACCCCCAAAATGAAACTTTCCATTGCAGGCCTCAGCTCCACTCACCTCATACAGTTCCAGGGGGTAGTTACAGGCCTGGGGAAGGGTGGGAAGAAAGCCAGAGTCAGCGCCCCAGAGAAGGAGGCGATCGCCCTGGAGGAGGGGGTCGGGGTTCCCAAGCTCCCAAGCCACAGGGATGGGTAGGAACTTGAATTCCCATCAGGCCCTGAGGCAGGAATTCCCTAGAAAAGCAGGGAAAGGAGCCTCCAGGGTCTTCTGGGAATTGTAGTCCCAGGATTGGGCAACCAGGAGCAGCAGCATTTGAGAAAGGCCAGCTCTGAACTGAGGGGGGCTGGGCAGGGCTTTCCATGGGGAAGCCAGGGTCCCGGTACCTCAAACTTCTGGAGGAGGTTGCAGTTGTCAGCATCAGCCACCGGCACATTGTAATATTCACCCTCCTCCTGGTTCAGCAACTTGTACCTGACATGCGGATGGAGACCAGAGCCAGGCAGGAAGCAGGGAGATGGGTGGGCCAGGTGTGGAGGGGGGGAACCATGGAGAGGCAGAGACATCGAAGGGGGGGTGAGACACAGAGAGACAGACACAGAGATGGAGAGAAAGAGTGAGATAAGGAGAGAGCGAGGCGGGGGAGGGGAGAGAGGAGGACTTTGGCCTGGAGGAGGAAGACCACACACACACATCAAGGTGAAGATGCTGGCCGCCCGCCCCATCCTGGCCCTCACCAGCCGTCCACCGGCGCCTTGAGCAGCTCTGACACCCCAAAGGACATGGCGCCCATGAAGTCGTTGCGGGAGGTCCGGTCCCAGTCCCACACCTCCACGCTGAGCCTGCGCTCCACGTCTCCAGGCTTCAGGTTGCTGCGGGAGGAGGGGGCAGAGTGAGGGGCCCAGCTGCGGGCTCCCTCACCCCCCAGCCTCGCTGCTGCAGGAAAAGGCCAACCTGGCGGGCAAGCGGGGGTCTGTTTCCTGCTCCGGGAAGCATCTTCCCACCTGCGGTCCTCACGTACGGGTTCCCTCTCCCAACGCCAGGACCCTAAGTACACCTGGGTAGCTCTCTCTCCATCTCCCCCTCCCCCAACCCCGGTCCCTCACTCCCTCTCCTTCCCATCCCGGTCTCCAGGTCTCTGTCCTACTCTGAGGTCCTGTCTTTCTGTCAGTTGGCTTCTCTTTCTTCCATTTCCACCCACCCACCACCTCTTTGCTCCCAACCCCTTCCGTTCTGTCTGGATCTCTCTCCTCCTCTTCCTCTCGTCCCTCTCTCCCTGGTCTCTATCTCGCTCTCACGTGGTACACTTCAATGGAGATTAAATACACAGGTGCCTGTCTCTTAGCTTCGTACCTCCATTCCTCTCTCCCAGTCACTCCCTTCCCTTCCCCCATCATCCTTTTCTGCTCTTTTTTTGGGTGGTTTCTTCTATCCCAACTCTTCCCACCAGCTGCTCCCTGGGTGTCCTGTGAGCCACCTGGACCCTCAGACCATATTCTCTGTCAGCCATCACGGCCTCCCCTGTATCCGAGGCTCACAACACAAAGGTCTCGTTCCACACAGGGTTCAGCGTGGCTTTCACTGTCCGGGTCTTCTGTTTCGTCAAGTTCCGAGGGTCTGGGATGAGCTTCAGTTTCACGTAGGGGTCCGACAGACCATTGGGGTCCATTGGGATGAGGTTACGGGCCTCACCGACTGGGCGGGGAGGTGAGGGAGGGTAGATCGGGTCAGCGATGCAGGGAGAGGGCCCCTGGCCCGCCCCCAGTCAGCATCAAGGTTTCCATGTTCTTAGCTGCCTTCCTCTGGCCCCAGATGCCTTCGATCTCTTACTTCTCCAGTACCAGAAGACAGGGCATAAAGACCTTTGACCCGGAAATTAGAGTCTCCTTCCTTAGGACCCAGGAGTCAGGACCTGACCATAACAGCAGGTCTTCTCTTATCCCTCCCTCTCAGGGACCTTGATGCCTCAGAAAGTCATTAAAATGGGCAGAAAGTAGGTAGAGGCCAGGCTGGAGACTGGGCTGCCCGCTAGAAGGGGCGTGGCCGGGTGGTGCAAGGCGCTAAAGGGGGAACCCAAGAGTGGGCGTGGTCTTGTAGGTGGGCGTGGTCTTGGGGGGCCTTCCCAGGCCCGGAGCCAGCACAGCGGACTGGGGTAAAGGGGCGTGGCCTCACCCGTGATGTGAATCTCATCTGCAGTCGGAGCCCGGATTTCCAGCTGCAGGCGCCCGCGGCGCTCGGTGTGGTCCACACCGCACAGAGAGGGCACGCTGCGCACACAGCGCCGATGCACATTCATCTCGCAACCTGGGTGGAGGAACAAAACTGGGGTAGCCTTCAGGCCTCCGCTGGGACCCCAGACTCCATCCCCACTGCGCTTTCGCAGGGGCCCCAGAAGAGCCAAGTTCAGGCTGGACCAGAAATACTCACAGGAGCATTTCATGCCCTGGTGCACCAGCCCGTACAGGAGGGACCCGCAGTGGTCGCAGAAGGTGGGGCTGCTGTAGCTGTGCAGACGGAACTTGTGCTTGTTCCGGGGGTCCTAGGAGCACAGAGGAATCAGTCGGAGGGGGCGGCAAGGGTGACTGGAACGCGAGGGGAGTAGCCATTTGTACTCCTCCTCCTTCTGCCTGGCTCTCCCGGTCTTGCTGGGGCTCCGCCTCACTCATTCACTCTACGGCATTTATGGAGCGCCTACTGGGTGCCAGGCACGGTTCTTTCTGGGTTTCTGGACCCAGCCGTGAACAAAACAAAAACTCCCGTCCACATGGCGTTTGCTTTCCAGCGGAGGGGCACAGAAAATAAACGTGATGAATACATTATATTCTGTGATGGACAGTAACAGGTAGGTGCTCTGGAGAGAAATGAAGCAGAGAACTACCGTGTGTGTGTGTGTGTGTGTGTGTGTGTGTGTGTGTGTGTGTGAAGGGGGGAGGGCTGAAATTTGAAATAATGATCAGACAGTAGCTGTCACTAACAAGGTGGCATTTGGGACAAACCCAAAGGAGGTGGGGCTTCCAAAGTCCCATGATCCCTACACCCCCACCTCACACAAGCTGGCCTTTCAGAACTCGTGGGCCACTGTGAATCTGTGACAGACCACTGTCAGCCTCTGTCGCTGTCTGCACAGATACCTGCCTTTCTGGAGCCCCTGGTGGAATGGAGATCTGGGGTGTAGGGCCCCAGGCAACTTTCAGGAGAGATTACATCTAAACCACACAGCAGGGCCTAAGGTCTTAAATGTGCTCAGTACTGTTACTTACTGCTGGGGTTATTATTAGTGAGTTTATTGCAGTCCCCTCATAGCACAGCCCTGGGTTTCAATAAGAGCTAGGCCAGTTCCCAGCTGTGTGATTTGGGACAGGTTCATGCCCACTTTTGAGCCTTAGCATCCCTCTCTGCCCAATGGAAATAAAGGAGCTACATCTTGAAGCAATGCTGTCCAGAGTCCAGTTAAGCAAGAATTTAGGGCACCAGAAAAGCATGCTCCGTCCACCCCCAGTAAGAACTGAGTGTTAAAGCATTTAGCATTTGCCTTTGGTGAAGAATGCACTGCAAAAGTTACCCAAAGGTGAAAATTCAGGATACTCCCGGACTTTTATTTATTTGGCAACTCAGTGGGGACCCTATTTTGAATAATACTTGGGGGGCGCGGCAGGAGGTGTTGGTGGCTGCCATGATCGGTTGCGATGCTCTGGGCTTCTAAAGATGCTCAGCTGATCCTGAATCAAAGGATTCCTGCAGGACCAGTTGAGATGCTGTGTGCATGAAAGCCCTCGGCGGGGTGACTGGCACACAAGCACCCCATGGAGAGAAGCTGGTATTAGCCTCAAGATGAAAGTCACTTATCCAAAAGGTGACAGTGCAGGGGCTCCAATTAGATGGATCAGGGTCCACATGTTTACGGCGCCCACTAGCCAGCCAGGTGGGCTCCTCCAATCCCTTCCAGAGACCTGGGTTTCCTTCCTATAAAGTGGGAGGCGGAAGGGAGCCCTCCCTGCAAGGGGTCTTGTGAAGACTAAATGCAGTCATCATCCTTGATCCAGGTTACTTACGAAATCAAACGCATTCAGAAGAAGAAGAAAAAAAAAAGCCAGTATGTAGAGGAAAGACTCCTCCTTCACTATTTACCTCTGTTTCATCATCAGTAACAATAATAGTTTCAATGCCAATAATGGTTTGTCTCTTGCCAAGTGTCTGACTCACTTAGTTCTCAAAACAGTCCTATATGCCGATCCTCCTCGTTTTCCAGGTGACAAACTGGAACTCAAGAGGTGCTGACAGGTAAGCTACCTTTCGGAAGGTCACAGAACCAACATGTGGGGGAGCTGGGATTCGAGCCCAGGTGTTCTGGCTTAGGGGCCCCTGCTGAGAAGATGGGCAGTACCTACCCTGACAAGCTGTTGTGCAGATCTGATTCTATGCTGTATTCACAACACCTGATAAGTGTGTACAGCGAACACTGGGCAAATCAGAAGGAGCGTTGGCAGTAGAGGTGGGCAGGTGAGGCGTCTGATCAATGGCACCTGTAGGTGCCGGTAGTCAGTGGAGCTCAATTTATGTTCTATGAAGTCACATCCTTTATGGGAACTTCCATTTTCTCCACCTGACAAGCTGGCAAAATTACTCATGGACTTCCGTGTGTGTGGCTCTCCCTCTTTCTCTCTCTGCCTCTTCCTCTCTCTACTAATCATAAAGCCATCTCTAACTCCGTGTCAAACCCTGGGCTAGACGCTTAACCCACCTGCTTTCATGAAACTGCCAAAACGGGGATGTCTACATTTATGTTGTTCCATGTGGTAGCCCCTAACCACACGTGGCTATTTACGTTTAAATCAACTCAAACGAAATGGAACTTAGATTTCTCTTCTTTGGTGACGATAGTCCCTCTCAAGTGCTCACTGGAAGGATGGCAGTGGCTTCAGTACTGGACACACAGACACAGGACATTTCCATCACTGCAGAAGGCTCTGTTGGTGGACCCTAAGACGGTCATCCCCACTTTATAAGGGAGGTGAGGGAGCAGGGGGCTGAGGCTCAGAGAAGAGAGCCCCACAGCCAGACAGAAAGTGAAGGGGGGGGGGTCAGGGGCTGTTTTTGTGAGCCCCTAAAGTGGGGGTGGGGACGGGGAGGAAAAGAGAAATTGTAGGTATTGATGTGTGTACACATAAAAAACTGTATGCACATGTGTGTACACGTGGGGATCTATATATGTATGATGTGTGTGGTATGCAAGTGGTTATGTGTGCACATGGGGAATTTGTATATGCATGTGTGTGTGCAAATGCGGATCTGCATGTGCACGTGTACTTGCACATAGGGCATCTGTATACGCAGGTGTCTGCGTGCATGTGGGGATCTTTATATTTAGGTGGGTGGGTGTGCACATGGAGCTCTGCATATGCAGGTGTGTGCGTGTGTACACGAGGGTCTGCGTGTGCAGGTCTGTGTGTGTCTCAGGGGTGTGTATATACAGGGGTGTGAGCACAAGGGGGAATCTTCATATGCAGTGTGTGTGTGCAAGGGGGGTCTGTATATGCATGTGTGTACGTGTGCATGGGAGCTATGTATATGTGAGCAGGTGTGTGTGCCTACGGAGATCTGTATATGCATGTGTGTGCGTGTGCATGGGAGCTATGTATATGTGAGCAGGTGTGTGTGCCTACGGAGATCTGTATATGCAGGTGTGTGTGTGCACATGGGGATCTGTAAGTGCATGTGTGTGCATACGAGAAGTTGTATATGTGCGGGTGTGCACGCATGTGTATTGTTGGATCTGTGGACCTCCTCTCAGAACCTCAGGTGTTTTCCACCATTTCTATTCTGGTCTCTATTCTGGTATCTGCACCTCTGTCTGTCTGCGTGTCTCTGCTTCTTGCAGTTTCTCCAGGTCCTGTTTTTCTGTGGCCTGTGTTTTGCTGCCTCTGTTCCAACTCTCTCTCGCTCTCGCTCTGCCTCAGTCTCTCTCCCTAGGTCTCTATCTTTTTCTGCATCTTTAACATTCCCTCTCTTCTTATCTCAGGATCTCAGTGCTTGCATCAATATTTCTCTCCGTCTGTCCCTCAGCTTTCTGGTTTTAAATGTCTCAAGCACTGATTCACAGCCTACCTACCCCTTCCAGTGCCAGTCTTTGGTCCCCTCACCTCTGTCTCCTCTCTGTCCCCCACCTGTGTCCCCAGCCTGTCTCAATCCTCTCTGATTCCCCCTTTCCAGGCCAAGGGCAGAGAATCTGGGCCAGACTAGCTCTCTCTATCTCTCCAGCCCCCCTCCCCTCCCAGCCTTAAAAATAGCAGGAGAAATTGGGACGGACGCCTAGGGGGTGAGGGAGGGGGCGCGGCCTGAGGAAGAATAACCAGGTGTTTGGGCACTCACGTCCGTCTGGGGGCCCTTCCCAGCGCCTGGACACTCGAAGGTCACAAATTCGTGGCATCGCCGATGAACCACAAAGCTGCAGACTGAAGGTGAGAATCACAGAGACACAGAGAGACCCCAAGGGACAGAAAATCAGAGAGAGAGAGAGAGAGAGAGAGACACCCCGACAGAAAGAAAACCAGAGAGAGAGACAGACATATAGACAGACCCCATACAGAGTTCAACTGAGAGTAAATCAAAGGGGAAGCTTCGCAAGCAGAGAAAGAGAGACACAGAGACCAGGAGATGGAAATTCAAGACAAAGAGAGAAACGGATGCAGAGAATCAGAGAGAGCCCAGAACATACACACAGAGACGGAAAGACAGAGAGAGAGAGAGAGAGCCAATAGGATCCCGCGGAGAGATCCAAGCACAGGCCGCAGAAAGAGATGAGAAAGCCAGGAAAGAGGGAGGTAGAGAAAAGAGAGAAAGCGCAGGGGAACGTCTTCGGACAGAACAGACAGCAGCAACTTGGGCAGAAGTGAGTCTGGGGGCGCCTCTGCGGCCGCCCTGCTCCCTGACTCACTCTGTTCTCAGAGTGGCAGCTGGTGCTTTAGGACTCGCCCCCCCTTTCCGCCCCCCAGAACTGCCGGCCCCACCCGGTCCCCACCCGCTCATTGGTGACCCCACCCGGCCTGCCCCTGCCTAGGACGGTTGATGTTGTCATGGTGACGGCAGCCTGGGGGTGGGGCTCTGACTTGGCATCTTCAGCCCCCCCTTCAGCTCCCCTTTTCCAAATCTCCCTGTTCCCATGGCAACAGATTCTCCAAATATCTGTCCCCACCTGGAGCCGGCCAAGGGAGGGGCCCCCAGCACCACCTCCGCGGTGGCCCCTCCGCCAGAGATCCCTCCCCACCACAGGCTGTGTCTCTGCCACACCCCCCGCCCCGGGCTCCCCCGCGCTTCTCTGGGGACCAGAGAACACGTGTGTCAAGGAGCCTCAGCTGTGGGGCCCCAGCCTCCACCCTCTTGAGGGTCCCAGGAGTCCAGGTCGCCAGCTCTTACCTTGACATTGCAGACCCTGTTTTCCGATTCCCCTGCAAGAGTCAAGGATCTGGGGTCAGTAGAGAAAAGGGTGACCAGGATCCCCTCACATCTATGAGCCCTATAGGTGGCCTCTGACCCTCCTCCCTCGGGAGCCAAGAGTCTAAGCCCTATAGCCGCCTTCTCTTTCTAGAACCCAGAAATTCCGGCGCCCAGCGCCTCCTCCCTCAGACCCAGGAGTCTTGGCTCACAGACCCCTCCTGCCCTGGGACCAGAAGCCAGGACTACAGAGCCCCCTCTTTCCTCATCACTCAGGAATCTGGTGTGACAGGGGGGTCTCGACCCCTGGTCCCCTCGTCCCTGCAAGCCCCCAGCCCCCTTCCCTCACCAGATGAAGTCGGTGCAGTGGCTGCAGAAGGTTGGCTGCTTGAAGAAGCGAGCGGTGAACTTGTGGCTCTTGACTTCGTGGACCACCTTCTGCCTCAGAGCCCCCTTTCTGCAAAAGAGGGGCCGGGGCCCGCCCTCTGAATCGCCTCCGCCGGGGCCCAGGCCTGCCATGGCCCCAAGAACGTCGCAGGGACCAGGATCCTGCCTTTCTGGGGGAACAGGTGGAAGGGCGAGGAGCCGGAGACTCGGGAAAGCCGAGGAGCCACGGGGAGATCCCGAGGAAGGGAGGAGAGGGGTGAGGCACCTCCAGGAGCGAGCGTGCGGCACCGGCCGCGGCCCTCGGGCGCGCCCTAAGGGAGCGGGCGAGCGGAGCGCAGAGCCTAGGGCAGGGGCGCGCGCAGCCCGAGGCACGGGCGGCGGTGGTGGGAGCTCAGACTTCGGCACCTGCTGAAATGTGGGAGCCCGGGGTGGGGGGTAGGCGTTGCCATGACGACCGAGGGGCGGGGTTTCTGCTTAAAGGCGTTCCCCTCCCTGAACACAGGACAAATGTCCAAATATCCTCTTCCTAACGCGTCCCCCCCCCCCAACACACACACACATATACACGTGCGCACCCCCGCTCCGCCTCGGGGGCTGGCTGAAAGGGGGGGCATCCTGGGAGCCGTGCCCTCCCCCACCCCAATCTGTCGCCTGGCCCTCCTTCCTTCCGGACTCGGGCGCCTCTGCGGCTCCCGGTAGCCCACTGCGACCCCTCTCGGATCCCTGCGTTTCTGACGGTGCTGCTCTGCTTCCACCCAGAAACTTTTCCTTCGGTGCTGGGATCCGCCGGCGAGCGGGGAGGCTTGGCGTCTCACTCTCTGCGCCGCCACCGGAGTCCGGACTCCTCTCCCGAGGCCTCTGTGCAGCTCTACGTCCGAGTCTCCCGCTGGGGGCGTCGCTCTCGATGGCTGCTGCTCTCCGTGGATGCCGAGCACGCACGTTCTCTGGCTCGGTCTCTGAGTGGGTCATTTTTTCTTCTTTTCTCTGAGGATTTCTATTTCTCTGAGGTTGTTGAGTGTTCCCCCCTCCCCCATCTGTGTCTGTCACTCATCCTGTGACCCTGCCTGGGTCTTGGTCTCACTGCCCTGCTGTAGGTCGTGTGTTCCCTCCTCCCTCTTTCTGGGGGTCTCTCCCTAAATCTTCTCTCTCTCTGTCTGTCTCTCGGCCTCTCTCTAAATCCTGGCCGTCTTTCCCTCTCTCCGTGTTCCCATTTCCGTGGGAAATGTTTTCTTCTGTCTCTCTGCTTGTGCTTGACTCTTCTTATCTCTCTCTGCCTGAGCCTCTCTCGACCCAATCTTTCCCCTCTGTTCCGGGGGGGGGGGGGGTGTCTCTCTCTGTCTCCTGATTCCCCCCACACACACCATCTCTGTGCTTTTCTCACCCATTCTCTACTTTTCTCTCTGCTTCTATGAATCTCTCTTTGTCTTTTGGGGAGGGGCGCGTCCCCCCACCCCCCGCCTCATTCTGGGATTCAGTCCTTGTCCCTCTCCAGCTCTGGAGGTCTAGTATTAAAGATAGCATCTGTTCCGCGGTTGGGAGGGGTCTCTCCGAACGTCGGCCCAGGGGGTCTCCTCCCCCGCCCCCCTCCGTCACTCCTCAAGTGTCTCTGTCCCTCTCTGGTGGTGCTCCGTCCCTCCCCCAGCTCCTGAGCGCTTCCCGGGGTTAGCTCCAAGCACCGCTGTTGCCCAGACAACCACGGCCCGCCCCGGGCTGCGGGGCGCAATGCATCCTGGGGCGTGTAGTTTGAGCCTGCGGGCCGCCTACGATCATCACGCAGCCGAGAACCTCCTTTCCCGGCATGCTCCGCGAGGTAAGGTGTGGTGGGGCGCTGCGGCAGCGCCTAGCGACTTGGAACTCCCTCCGCACTTGGTCTAGGACTTTTAAGGGGTCGGGGACCCCTTTCCAAAGTCAGAGGAGGGGCGAGAGAATCAGAGTCCTCTCCCACCCCTAACATAGGGTCCTCTCGCCTTTCAGCCACCTCCAGGCGTCCCCGCCGTGCCCCAGAGCAGATGGGGGCTGGAATGGCCCTGGAAACTGACCTCGGAATCCCACCGCGCTGGATTCCCACGCTCCAGGGTTTTTTTCCTGTCACCTACGTTCCACCCCCAGCTGCTCCAGCGGTCCTTTCTGGCGCCTCCCAGAAGGGGTTCAAGCATGGGGTGCGAGGTGGGAAGACACCCCCAGCTAGGGGGTAAGAGACGCCCTTTGAAGAGGCAGGGGTAGATGCAGGTCAGAATTCTGGGGTGGACACTGCCGCGATCAGAAGAGGCTATACCTCACCAAAATAGAGAGTGGCTCTTTCTAGGTAATCCTCCCCCTCTTCCGGCGAGACCCTCCCCACCCTTGCAGCTTCTCTTCCCTACACCTTTGTTTTGCAGGTGGAGGTGCAGAAAATGAGTGGCAGGATTCTGGAATTTCCTCAGATTCATATATTTATGATTCTCAGTCTGGAGAAAGAGGCAGGATGACTTTCTGTAGGAGAGACTCATTTGCTCTTTATCAAGGCCATTTATTGGCCAGGATCACACCAGGTGTCACAGGGGGCCTAGAACTGAGGGTGGGCTAAGAAAGAAAAAAGAGCCAAGCGTGGAATGTAGGCAGAGTCAGATCCTGAAGACCTCAAGTGCCGGACTGAAGGGTTTTGGTATTACCTGTAGGCTAGGTAACACCTACAGGTGGGATATGGAAGGATGTGAGCAGGCGAGGGTAGGATCCCACCTGGGTGCTGGGAGCACCCAAAGGCTGGAGGTGGGATGATCAGAGACAAGACTGGGGCAATAGCTCCGGTGCAAAACAATGAAACCTGAGCTGGGTCAGGAGCCTGAGGAAGGGGACAGATTCATTCCTCCTAAATATATATATGAGAAAAAAATAGTGTTTGATTAGCAACTGACTGAGAAAGGGGCCAGGAAGAACAAGTGCCTAGGTTCTCAGCCCTGAGAGGCTAATACTGAGATGGGGAATCTGCAAGAATTAATTTTGGAAGAAGGATGCTGCACTCAGGTTGGGACATTGTATTTCTGAGGTGGTCCTGGGTCTCCAAGGATGGAGAGATCTTGTTCATTCCTATCCTAAGTAGCTCTCCTGGTTTGAGACAGTAATTTGGTTAGAGCCAGACTCAACTAGTATTTTTCTGATGAGGCCGAACTTGTGTTGGCTCCCACCTTCCTGGAGCCCTCCCCAATAATAACGCAAGCACAAGTCTTCCTTTTATCTTTATATTGAGGTAAAAAATAAAATAAAGAACATGACGAGTGTGGGAGTGGAGGAAGGGACAAGGCTTCCCTTGATAATTGACGGCAGAGGCTGACGGGAACCAGAAGCAACAAGGAACTAAAAAAAATAAAATATGTATTTGTACATTTATATATATATATATATATATATCATGTTATGCGTGAGTTCCAGAGGAGCAGGAAGTAGCAGCAGGAAGCACCTAGCACACCAACATGCGTGTGTGTCACACACTCAAGCAGTGCAAATTGTCACTAGGGCGACAGCAATCCCACTTACCCAACCCACCCACAAATATTTTTTTCCCCCAATGGAAAAGAAACTTCCCCTTTAAGAATAGGACCACCCAGTAATTTCTGCCCTTGTGACAGGAAGAAGAAAAGAAAAAAAAAAACCAGGCTACCATTGCAAGTAAGGCCGGCAGTGGCCATTTTCTCCCCCTCCCACAGCCAGGGCAGTACATGCTGTCTTTAACACTACGGCCGGAGCCACACGGGCCTGCCCCTCACAAACCCTTCAGGAATCTTGACATCCAGAGAGCAGCTGGGGTGGAAGGCACCCATCATTCTTTGCTTCCTTTAAGAGAGGCCTCTAGGCACGGTGTTTTACTAAAGCCTGGCAAAAATGCTGGAGCCAATCTCAGGTAAGGCTGAGTGTCAGGCAGGGACTAAGGAGTCGGGGTCTATGATTTGAAGCTTCCCACCCACTAGAAATGACTAACCTCCAAGCATTTTTTTAACTTAAAAAAGAGATGCACTGTACACCCCCTTCCACTGGGAGAAAGGGAGCCCAATCCATACCTACCCCCCCCAAAACATACATACGAACACACAAACACATCTACTAAGGCACAGCCAGGGTGGGCACATGCTTTGGCAATGAGGCCCCTCAGGGGGCCCAGGGTCTGAACAGCTGCGAAGAGGGGTGTGGGATGTGGAGCTCAGCACCTTTGGAGTGGGGGTGTTGGCAGTGAGGGGACGCACAAAGAAGTCTCAGGGCTCCCAAGGAAATTGAAAGAAGGAAAATGGGAAGTGGTCAGGAAAGAAGGCAGGTGAGAACACCAGCAAAGAAGCAAGCAACACATTAAGTACAGAAGAGTAAGAGGAGAAAGGCAAAACAGGATGTGGGCAACCAAAACACACAAATAAACAAACAAAAAGGAAAGAGACAGAGCATCGGCACGGGTGGGGGGGTAGCGGGGAGAGCAGGTGAAAGAGACAGGAGACAGTGAGCTGAATGGGAGGGAGATGAGAAGGGGAGGAGAGGGACCCAGGAGGAGGACAGCAGAGGAAATCAGAACTCAGTAAAGACACCTGGGGGGAGAGGCGGGATTCGGGAGCTCCTGGTCAGAGCCTCAGACCCTGACGAAAACTAGGCGGGCTGAATACACCAGGTCAGCCACATAAGCCAGCAGGTTGATGGCCGTCAGGATGGTCACAGCCAGGCGGCGGTCCCAGTAGCACACATAGAAGCTGTTTCTGTTCTGGCAGCTAGCATCCTTCCACCGCTCTGGGTGGGCGCCGTGCCTCTCGTCAAACTGGTAGAGAGGCCAGAGGACCATGGCGGAGGCATAGAAGAGGACAGAGAGCAGGGCCAGCCCGGACAGGAAAGTGGGGAAGGGAATGGGCAGCACGTTGGTGCAGTCGCACAGGTTCAGCAGGATGGCCACGGCGGCCAGGATGAAGCAGATGGCGTAGACGGCCACGCACCAGTTCAGGGCCGGCTTGTTGTTGTACAGGCTGGGTTCGCTGATGAAGGCGAAGATGATGCAGGCCACGAAGGTCTCGACCACCTTGAGCAGGCCTGGCACGGTGGCCATGTAGCCGGTGATCTCGCCGGGCCGGGCCCGGGTCCAGGCCACTTCGGTGGCATAAGCCACACAAGCGACGGAGGAGAAGAAGGTGGCGGCGATGGCGTGGTCCCTTGAGCGGCCGTGAGACAGGAACTGGACGTAGATGGTGGGGTAGATGATAGAGGCCGTGAGGCAGAAGAGGGCCGCGTAGCAGGCGTAGGTAATGGGGAAGTTGCGCCAGGACAGTGGGAAGCGAGCCTGGAGCCCACCTAACTCCACGATGATGATGATGAGGGTCACGGCGAAGCAGAAGCACCAGGCGAACATACACCAGTGACCAGCAAACCCTGTCCAAGCGTTCACACTGGCCACCAGCGAGAAGGCCACGCAGGTGGAAAACAGCTGTACCAGTCGGAGGAGGCCCAGGGGCTGGGTCAGTGCCCGAGGGGACGCCAGGATGGTCGGGGAGCCCAGGCCTGAAGATGACGTGGTGGTGGTGGTGACGGTCGTGCGGGTCACTGTCACGGGCATGGCTGCGGGAGGGGGAAAGAAAGTGCCTTAAGGAGGTTCCAACCAGCAGAATCCAGGCTCCCAGATGCAGGTCTTTTAGTTTTCAAGCTGGGCCAGTCCCAGGCCTACTAGGACGACTTGGTCAACCAGGCCCCAGGCCCCTCCTTTCCACTGGCCTCAGGTGTCCCACCTCTCTCGTCAGAACCCAGGAGCCCAGGCCCCCCTAGTTCTCTGCTCGTCAAGACACTCCTTCACTCCTTTCCTCTCCCCGTAACTCACCTCCTATAAAACCACAGAGCTTCCGGGGGGTGAGAGTGGGAGGAGGTAGGAGAGGATCAACAAGGGGTAAATGGTGATGGGAAGAAACTTGACTTGCAGTGGTAAACACACAATACAATCTATCGGTGACGTTATTATAGGGTTGTACTCCTGAACCCTGTATAATTTCATGAACCAATGTCACTCCAACAAATTCAATATAAATAAAGAAAGAAATAACCACAGAGCTTTCTTCCAATGGACACCCAAAGCTGCCCCCCTTGCCGCAGAGACTCAGCCACCCTGCATTTCAGACCAGGCTGTAAAGCATCCCTTCCCCTGCCTCCCCTCCCCTTGCCAGAAAAAGAGACTCTGTCCTCTTCACAACCCATCTCTCTGTCTCTGCTTCCCCCTTTTGAGTGCCCAGGGCTCTGCACCTCAGCCCTCATCTCCAACTTCCTCCGTCACCTGACAGGCCTAAATATTTCCAGGGTCCGAAAGTTCAGGAGTGTCACCTCCACGTGTGATCATCCCCAGGGACTCACACCTGATCAGAGCTTCCAGCTCGTCCGGGAACTAACTCCAGCCTCCCCTGCCCCCCATTCAGAGATCACAGATCACGAGTCTGACTCAGGCCTGGGAGCTCTAAGAACTTCAACCCAAAGGAAGTGGGGCTTCCTCTTGCCAACCCCACCCACCCACAGGGAGTCCAACCCCCTCAGGGCCCCACCAGCTAGTCCCCCACCTTCATGGAAATTCAGCTCCCATATTCTCAACAGCGCAGTGCCCTGGCCCTTTCACTGAAATCTCTAGGCCTCGCCTGACCTGTTCGTTATACAGGTTCAGACTTTGGGATTCTGGGCCCTCAGCCCAGAACAATTAGACGCTGGCGCTCAAGGCAAATCAGCTTCTGGCTTCCCTCTCTCCCCAACCTACAGCCTTGGCGTCTCCAGCGTGTTGGGGATCAGGCCCTCCCTCAGGCCTTTGAAATGTTTGCCATCTCCACATCTCTTTAGAGATGTTTAGCCATCCCTAAAAAGCTCAGAAGGCCTCTCTCAGCCCCAGGGAACGAAAACTTCCTCTTTCCAGCGTCAGGGGCCAGCATAACAAATGCTTGAACCACCTCGGGCCCTGCCATCCCTGCACAGGGGCTGCCCGAGGACACAGGAGCGCAGATGCAGGACACACTCCTTCCTCCCACACACAGCTGTTGGGGGCCCCATCACCCCTCAGAACCCGAGCTCCCAGGTACTTCCCGCAGGATCTAGGAGTCTAACCCCAATCTCATCCTCGCTCAGACCAAAATATTTAAGATTCCCACCACCTCAACCCCTACCTTCTCCGACCCTGGAGCCCAGGCCCCCAGCCCTTCTCCCCTCGGACCCTGGACCCCAGGCCCCCCAGTCCACTCACCAGCGGTCTTAAGTTGAGGACCCTGTCAGAGAAAGATCCGGCTGCGGAGGCGGATGAAGTCAGACACCTGGAAAAGGTTAGTCAGAGCATAAGAGGGAGGGAGAACCTCGGCGTCCAGCTCAGCCCCAGCTCCGCCCTCCCAGGCCGCCGCTGGCCGCAGGGGGAGGCGCGCGCCAACCGCTCAGTAGACACTCCATCAGCCCGGGCGCACCTCCCCACAGAGCCGGAGTTGGGTGGGGTGACCCCGGAGCAGCCGCACTTTCTCCGGAGTCGCCAAACCACGGCGGTGAAGCCAAGACTGCAAAGGGAAAGGGCACGCCCTGTGGGCGGGAGTGGGCGAGCGTCACCAGCCCCCGGGGCAGCCGCGGGGGGAGGGCCCTGGACAGAGGCGGTGGGGCTGCGTCTCCGGGCCTTATAAGGACTTCAAGTCAGCCCAGCCAGCAGTACAGTGGCGGGGGACAGGAGGCGGCGCTGGGACCCCGGCAGCGCGCTGGCCTCCACGATGACCCGCCCCGCATGTCGGTTTGGGGAAAGGAGGGGGGAGGGCGCAGAGAACCTAGACTCCGGGTTCTAGTTGGAAAGGCTTGGAACCCACACTTCTGGAACGTTCAACAAGTGAGTTCTGGGTTCCCAGGAGGATGGGCTGGATGCCTGCCCACCCCCCCAAGAGGAGTGGCCGGGAACTCTGATCCTGGGTCCGTCTGGCTGGAGGCTCAGTATTGAGATAAACTGCCACACCACCCACCAACTCCAGGAAGGGCGGTGTCCCAGGACACCTGAAAGGTGCCGCCCCCACGCCCCTCCCCCAGGGCCCGTTAGGAGGAAGTCCGGACTTCCCTGGAGGAAGAGGATGGGCCAAAGCTCCCGCGATGTCGCGTGGAAGGCGGTTAACGCTGGGGCCACCTGGGGGATGCCTGACAGCGAGATCGGGAACGGGCGGCCCGGCCCCGGAGGAGGGAAAGTAACACCCCGGCGGCTTCTCGGCGCAACTCCGGACTCCCCGGGCCACAGCCTGCCATCTCCCCACCTCCAGGCCAAGCACCACACCCCACCGCTCTGCAGACTGAGGGTCGCCCCCGGGGATCCCCCAACCTGTGCTCTGCACACTCGGGGACGCTGGTCTCAGCCTTGTTTGTTCTCTCCCCGCCTTAGTGCGCCCAGCCTCCCAGCTCCGGCCGCGCTTTGGAGCACCGGTGCTGGACCTCAGCCCCGGCCTTTCCAGTCCAAGTTCGGGTTCTGTCCCCAAGATTGGGAGATTGATAATTCTCAACTCCAGGCCACTCTTTTCCAAACTCAGGACTCCCACTCCAAGGTCCCTGCCTCCTGAGGACCTCCCAGTACCACATTCCAGCTCCTTCAAACCCAGATTCTAGGAGTCCCCATCCCTCCGGTCTCTCAGACCCAGAGATCTAGGCCCCCAGCCCCTGCCCCCTCAGACCTGCGAGTCCAGGCCCCCAGCCCCTCCCTGCTCAGACCCAGGGGTCCAGACCCCCAGCCCCTCCCCCCTCAGACCTGCGAGTCCAGGCCCCCAGCCCCTCCTCCCTCAGACCCAGGGGTCCAGGCCCCCAGCCCCTCCCCCCAGGGCCCCCCGTCCAGGCCCGCCCCGACGCCCCCACCTCCCCAGACCCCCAGCCCCTCCCCCCTCAGACCTGAGAGTCCAGGCCCCCAGCCCCTCCTCCGTTCAGACGTAGGACTTGTAGGAGTCCAGGTCCCCAGCCCTCTCCTCTCCAGAACCCGAGTCTGGCCCAGCCCCAGTCTTTCGAGGGACTCATCCCAGCCCATTTCTCCTCCCGTACCCAAGAATCCTGGACCGCTGCCCCCACCCTCGGAATCACCGCAGCCTCACCTCACTAGCTTGAGGCTGCCGAGCTGAATGAAGCAGAGGCGACAGCTGCAGACTAGAAGGGTCTGCGGACTGGGTGGGGATGGCGCGCTGGGGAGGGAGCTCGGCCCGGGGCGGGGCCGGAGGAGCGCTGGGCTTCAGTCGGGGACAGGACTCCCGCAAGCCAGGGCTATCCCCGCCCCGCCCCAGGGCGGAGCCAACACCAAGACCACGCCCCCGGGGAAATAATTGAACCCCTACTCTCCCGCTCCACCCGCTGTGGCGGGGAGTGGAGGGCTGAAGTCACTATCGCCATGGTGACAAAACAGGAAGACACACAGCTGCAAGACTGGGGGTTCCTGGGGTCGCCCCCCCTCACACGCATAGCTCTAGTCTAGTCTCCAGGGGAGGCCCCGGAAGGCCGTTGCCACGGCAACCCGCCAGTTTAGTTTTTGTTTAGGACGGAGACCCTCCCCTCAGTTCCCCGCCCCTGTGTCACCTCACTCTTCCCTGGGCCTTGCTGCCCTCTCCGCGTCTGCTCCAGCCCAGCCTGTCAGAAGGGATGAAATCTTGGGACATCTGGGTCGCAGGGGGTGGGCGACCGGGCCTCAGTTTAACGGGGTCTTGGATCTATGCCTCTTAGGTCTCTAAAAAAAGATAGAGGTACCGGCCCCCACCTTTCGGGAGGTTTCTGGGCTGAGGTCCCCGACTCCTGGGTCCCCGAAAGAACAGTGGTCGGATTCCTGTGCTTTAGGATCCGAGGGTCCCCTAATCGTTATTTTCACTGGGACTTGCGGTGCAAAGACTGGTGAGCTGGACCCTTGCTGTCACGGTCCCTGATGTCACCGTCCGTGGGGTGGGGGAGGGGTGTTGGCAGCAAAATTCCTGGGAACTAGGGCGGTAGGAGTTGGGGGCACCCACCTCCCGGGTTCCACAAAATGCCCCCGGCGGAGGACCCAGAGTCTTGGCTTGAAAGAGCAATCAATCAAAGCTTAGACGCCTGGGCTTCCAGAGCAGATGTGGTTGCAAGCGGAGCCTCATAGGTCCGGAAGGGAGAGATATTTTTGGCCTGCATTCCTGGCTCCTGGAAAGAGGGAGGGGCTCAAAAGCTTAACGAAGACCGGGATGGGGGGGCGCCAGATTCCAGGTTCCTGCAAGAGGGGAGGGGCCCTACGAGCGGGTCTGCTCGGCCCGGAGCAGGGCGGGGCTGTGGGGTCCTTTTCTAGGGGCGGCTCTGGGGCCCTGACACCGCTTGACAAAGCCAAGAAGCCGGCGGGAGCTGAAGGCCTGGCTGCCGGGCCCTGGGTCTGGCGGGGCGGGGTTCAGGCCGCCTAGGTCCCTCACCGCAGGGCCTGGGCACTCACCACGTTCCGTAGTCGTCCTCGGCGCGGCCTGGCTCGCCGCCGCTGCGGGGCGGGGCCTGGTGGCGGATGGAGATGCTCTGCAACGCGGAGCTAACCGCGCGCTGACCTAGCGACACGCTGATACCTAGTTGCTGCCGCTGGGTGCTTGGAAGAGGCTTGGAGAACTAACCCTGCAGTGAGAGCAGCTAGAGTAGGGAAGAGAGGGATCGGAAGGGGTCCCGGAGCTCGGTAAACCCGGCTGCAAGCCCTGCGGAGGTGGGAGGGGTTGCGGGGGGTGCCTGGATGCTGTGAGCTCTGCAGAAACGGGGGTGGAGGGTGTAGGATGTGGGGCCTGTGTGCCCATTTTTGTGCCCCTGCAAAGGGGGAAGGCACAGACCCTGTGTCATTCTGCACCCTCCGTAAGGAAGGGGTTCCCCAAGAACCCCACATCAGGCCCTGGCTGGTGTGGCACAGTGGATTGAGCGCCGGACTGAGAAGCAAGGGGTCGTGTTTCCATTCCCAGTCAGGGCACACGCCCGAGTTGCAAGCCAGGTCCCCAGTGGGGGATGCACGAGAGGCAACCACACATTGATGTTTCTCTCCCTCTCTTTCTCCTTCCCTTCCCCTCTCTCTAAAAATAAATAAAATCTTAAACAAACAAACAAACCCGCATCAGGACAGATAAAAACCAGGACGTGGCATTAGAAGTTTTCCAGAAACATCCCCAAACCCTATTCACACCATTCCTCGCCCCCCAGGGCAGTAGAATCTCTAGTATCTCCCCACCCTCTCCTTCCTGCACAAATCCGTCTCTCTCTGCCTGACCCCCACGGTGGCCCTTCCGAGACACCCCAAAAAGTGCTGGGACGGTCTGCACTCACACAACTTACACTCTGCTCTCATTTTCGCAGGTAGAAACCCTCCCCCCTTTAGGTATTACAACCCACAAACCGCAGAGTTCAGGACAAGGGGACAGGAAGCAAATATTTAAGGAATGAGTCATTGGGTGTGATCCAGGGAAGTGAAACCTTTGGGTACTCCGGTTGGTTTGGAGTGTTTGTCCCTGAGGATAAGACCCTGACACCGCTCCCGCCCCCCCCCCCCCCCCCATGATGCTTGCAGCCTGGCACTGTAGCCTCAAACCGGCGGTGCTTCTGTTCTCTGAGGCGAGCTGCTCCCGGGCGATGGGGTACATGGACCTGCCCACCGACTTCCTCCTAATTGGAGTTCCCCAATCAGAAGCGATATTGTGTGTTTAATGACACAGTGAATAGGGCCACTGAGTTGCAGGTCCAGGTGCTACTACTGTTGGCAGCCGCCTGGAAGGCTAGAAAAGCAAATACAGCCCGGAGGTAAAATTATTCAAGGGAGGAAGAACCTCGCTGCTCCATCCATGGTGGAAGGGGTTCCATGTGGTCCTCTGATGACCGCGTGTTTGGCTGGTCTCCCTAAGAAACCATCCCATAGTGGGGTGGGGTGGGGGGGCAGTTAGCAGTGCTTGCTTCTGCCAGTGCTGGCTAAACTTGGGTGAATCACTGAATGTTGATGAGCCCATTAAGCAAGCACCAGGGAGGCCAGGGAAACATGCACAGGGAGAGCCACAGAGTGGTCATCTGGTCGACCTACCTACCAGGTGGCTTAACTGCATTCTCCGTGAGAGTTTGAGGGGCAGGGCCTTCCCCCGGGATACAGGTGAATTGTTTTTCATTCCCCACACCCTATGTGAGGGCGTGTCTCTTTGTTTCACAACAGCAACCAATTCTCCAACTCTCAGGAGACAGCAGCCGAGTGCCCAGTGATTCGATTTAATTCCTGATTCGGGGTATGCTTACCTGGAGTTAGCATCAAACCCACACACACACAAGTTATGGGCTCAGTGCCCCAGGGATACCCCCCACTTCCGATGGCAAGCACAACCCCCAGGCCTCCCCTACTTCTGAATGGGGGTCCCCGTGACCCCCTCCCAGGTTTGATAATTTGCTAGAATGGCTCACAGAACTCTAGAAAGCACATTCTTACACACATCTCTCCATACCCTGGCTTCTTTGGAAAGTTTCATTTATTCATCAACAAATATCATTATTTATGAGTGTCTTCTAAGTGAGAAGAAAGCGGGCTAAAGAATGAAGATTTTACCTCATTTGTTAGTGACAGAGGGTTCAAGATGTAGTAAATTCATCTGGGTATGTGAGATATTCCCACTGTCTTCAGTTGTGTTCTCAGTAACTCCCCTGCCTTGGTCAGCTTCCCCATTTTCCTCAGGTTTATCTTCCATGCTCTCTGTTATTCTTAAATGTAGAGAGGGAGAGAGAGATTCTTGTTGTTCCACTTAGTTCTGCATTCCTGTATGTGCCCTGACCAGGGATCAAACCCACAACCTTGGGGTAGGAGGATAATGCTCCAAGCAACTGGGCTATCTAGCCAGGGCTGGCGTGTGTGTATCTTGCTAAGACATACAGTGTGTCAATCTGCTCCTGTTTTTTAGGTCTTATCAACATGATGTCATCGGCACAGTTGGTCAGAATGGAATCTGTGACATATGAAAAGGTCAAGTTGCCTGCAGAATAAGATGTGGAACAGAGTTAGAGAATTAATTTAACTCCAAGCAAAAGTGGGGCATCTAGCTGTATAAGCTTCCTAGGGCTGCCTTACCAAATCCTCGCAATCTTGGTGGCTTAAAATGATGAGAACGTGCCCAGGCTGGTATGGCTCAGTGGACTGAGTGCTGCCCTCCAGATCAAAAGGTTGCTGGTTCGATTCCCAGTCAGGGTATACGCCTGGGTTTCCGGCCGGGTCCCCAGTTGTGGGTGTGCAAGAGGCAACCAGTCGATGTTCCTCTCACTCATCAATGTTTCTCTCCTTTTCTTTCTCCCTTGCCCACCTCTAAAAATTAAATAAATATAATATTTTTTTAAAACTTAAGGTGCATTTCATTTTATTTATCTATTTTTATTGACGAGAGAGAGAGAGTTGTTGTTCCACTTACTTATTGGTTGATTCATCGATTGATTATTGTACGTGCCCTGACTGGGGATCAAACCCGCAACCCCGGCCTATTGGTATGATGCTCTAACCCACTGAGCTGCCTGGCCAGAGGAAAATGCATCTCAACTTGGATGCTAAGTTTTCAAGGGAGAGGCTTTATCTGTAGATAGAATTCATAAAATAGGCTCAGTTGAAAAGTAAATTCATGGCCTAGACCAGGTGACTCAGTTGGTTGCAGCCTCATCCTGATGGACCAAGGTTGCAGATTCAATCTCAGGTCAGGGCACGTATGGGAATCAACCAATGAACACGTGGATGGAGGCAACAACAGACTGGTGCTTCTCTCCCTTCCTCTCTCTAAAATAAAATAAAATACTGAATCAATAGGAAGTTGCAGCTCCTGAAGTTGTTAAATACCCAGGATTCCTGCTCTGCTGGTCTCTGGGGTCAGGGTGTCTATAAAACCCTCTACTTCCCTGAATGTTCTCTGCGGAACTTGAGCATATTTAAATACTACAGACAATGTCTAGTCTTTGGGGGACTTCCTAGTATATGGAACCACAGTTTTCCCTGAGCTGGCATGGCTCAGTGTGTTGGGCATCATTCTGCAAATCGAAAGGTCGCAGGTTCGATTCCAGTTCAGGGTACATGCCTGAGTTGCCGTGGCCCCTGGTTGGGGGTGTGTGAGAGGCAAGAGATTGATGTTTCTTTCATACATTGATATTATGTCTCTCTCCCTTCTCCTCTCCCTAAAAATAAATAAACAGCGGGGAGAGGAGTATAAGGGGACTAAATGGTCATGGAAAAATATATAATAAATATTACATATAAAAAT